ACCCAAGAAATAGGATTAGCATTATGGTCAGCACTATGGGGAATCCTTGTACAATTAAGTACATGATTGCATGTAGAGTAAACATGAGAGCTTAGAGATGTATACGTTTCCACTGCTGGAAAGTGAATATAAGTTAGGGCAACATTTCCTATAGGTGGCAGCTGTAGGAGCTCATCACATTCAATATTTTCAGATTTTAAAATGAAATTTTTCATCTGTAGGAATGGCCCAATGTATAGATACATTGAGCTTAAGAGTTACTGAGCTTAGAACGCTTGACCCATGAGTATTTTTATTTTTACAGAGGCAAGGTCTTGCTATTTTGTCAGGCCGGTCTCAAGCTCCTGGCCTCATCAGCCCTCCTGCCTTCCAGATAGCTGGAACTATAGGTGTACAGCATTGTACCTGGTTTCATGAGTATTTTAGCTAGGTAAAATTTGTTTGGTTCAGTGAGTCTTAGATTTAAGACCTGTTGATTTATAATGAGAGATCTTGGGCCTTAAAGTATATTTTTGTTTTAGTGGTGAGGTTGGGCTTTACTTTGTATATTCCACTGTTCTTAATTTTGTCAAATATTGCTAGGGACCAGTGAGATGGATAATCCAAAAATAATAATTTGACTTTGGTTGAGTATGTCACTACCACAGTGTTAGTTGATTTGCACTTTAGTTTTAGGTTAGAAAAGTTAATTTTCACATTTGTGCTGTGGATTAGTTAATGTTATCCTTAGCATAATAGATGAGGAACAAACTGAGAGCAGTGAAATGACAGACTTTCCAGTCCTCCATGTAGCAAGGAGCATATTTGACTCCCAAACAAATACTTTTTCTCTAGAACCATAATGACCCCCCAGTTACGTTTCAGTAACATAGACCGTAATGAACTTCCTACTGTAGGGAGACTTGAGTTAGGAATACATTCGGAATAGGGTTAACATTATAGTTCTTAATTTTCTTTAGGGGAGACAAGATAATTAAACTTGGATTTTGCCAGTCTTTTTTTGATTTGCAGATTCTGTATGGTAACACAGTAATGGTGGTTTGTTCTTAAGTTTTTTTCTCATCTGGTTTGATAATTTAGTGCAAACTTGAAATCTGGATGTGGATAACAATATTTTTATTATAGCATAATCCAGGTGAGTTTACAGAATTTGTATTTTGTGCTAATCAACTGTGACCTGATAATTTTCTTCATCCCTCTATTGTAAAACCCTTGTTAGAAGTTAATGATTTAATGGAAAATGTTGCACTTTATAGAAATCCATTGTAGAACTTACAGGTAACATTTCTATGGAGCATAGATTTGTAGACCCCTGTATGCTGAATGACATTTCTTTTAAATGGTTGCATTTGCCAATCTACTTCTGAAGATGTCTTTTATATTACAGTTTTCTTTTTGTGCTACTTTAGAGAATCTCTGCAGTATTGCATACAGATGAGATAATCATTGACCTTTTTAGTTCAGCAGTTTATAACTTTGCAGAAGAAATAACACCAACGTTTATTTGAATATCAGGTTTTAGCTAACTTCCTAATGTACAAAAAAAAAAAAACAACTTAGCAATGTCTTATGTGGAATGAGGGGTTGAATTAAAGTTGCTGATCAATTTGGCCATGTGGCACTAGATGATAACTAAATTAAGGATTTCTGGTTCTAAGGTAGTAATGGCTTTTGGGATTATATTTGTTTAATGTTGAGGTTCTGGGGACCATAGGTGGGCCTGTCAGCTCTTAACAGATTATAGTAAAGGAGAGATGGTGACACATGTTAGATAAAACTTGTTTATATTTACATTCTTATTAGATGTCACCTCAGGACAACACTGAAATTAAACTGCTCTGTTCACGCTTTGATGTGACAGTCTAAAATCAAGGCCTAAATGAATGAAAAGATGATGTAGAGAATACCTAAAACCCTTAACCAGTTTTGGTTTTTGATTGTGCATATGTGTTGGCTTGGAATCAGGTTTTTAGTTTCTGTTTATGTGACTTGTTTGAAAACAGTGGATTCTTCTCTCCACAGTTTCTGTTTGAACCTAGTAGCTTATTTTAATTCCCTGGAAGTAAGAGGAAAATAATACGGAGAATCCTGTTCCACTATTTCTTTAATAAATCATGTGACTTGACCAATTACAGAAATTCATATGTGTTTAGTATTTTGAAATGTGGCCTGTGTCCCAGATTTGTAAGGTAACTGCATACAGTGTGTCTTAGGATTCTTTTTTTAAGTAAATTAAGGATTTTTTCTGGATTACCAGAAATTAACTGTTGATTTACTGAACCAAGTATTTATTTTCAGGAGCCCACTTATGGGGAAGGTTGCCTGTATTTTTGGTAATAATTAAAGGGAAGATTAAATCCTGTTTAGCCTGTATAGAAACAGTTTTAACTATTGCTGAAGTTAAAATCACTTTGGGGTTGAATGTGGTGGCTCATGCCTGTAATCCCAGTGCTTTGGGAGGCTGAGGCCAGAGGATTGCTTGAGACCATTAATTTGAGAACAGCCTGGGCAACATAGCAAGACTCAATCTCTACTGATAATTGAAAAAATGAGCCAGACATGGTGGCACATTCCTGTAATGTTGCCTCTCAGGAGGCTGAGGCAGGAGGAATTCCTGAGTCCAGGATTGGAGGCTGCAGTGAGCTCTGATTGCACCACTACACTCTAACCTGGGTGACAGAGGCTCTGTCTCTAAAAAACAAAAAATTACAAAACGAAACAAAAACGTGTTGGTTACTCATTGTCCTCATGCTTTAATGTCAGTTGTTCCCCTAAATTTTAAAATTTTGTTATGAAGATTGGATGTACACTGATTTGGCCCTTTAAATGACATTATACCAAGAAGGTGGTATAATGAAGTAGGAGAGGAGAATACTTTTTTTAAAATCATTTGGTGCATGCTAATGTAGCTTGTAGGGCATGTGGTTTAAAAAATTTTCTGGATTTTGTAGGATAGGGTGGAAGTAAAATTTAGCTGCTAGCATAGGGATCATTTGTGATTTATATAGGAAATATACTTTTCAGTGAGAAGCATCAGACAATTTTTTTCTTCCGTTTTGATTATTACCACAAGGAACAGAGAAACTCTCAGAATTCTTTGAATCATAAAATGTTAGTGCTAGAAAGGACTAGAAGTGACTTTATAACCCCTTCATTTTACAAGTGATCAGAGAATTGAGTAGCAGAGTCCCAAATGTGTTTTTAGAGGTAATATGATCATCAGTTTAGGTTCACTGTAGGAAGGCCAGCACTGTTAAAGTTTGTCAGAAGAAAAAAGGAAGGTATCACTTTTTATATGTTCACCCGGTTGCATCTGCAGTTTTCATAGCCCTGTTTTCTCGATTTTTTTAGTATTGTCATTAATGGCCCAGCTCTACCAGGGCTTGTTGCTAAGGACATTAACTTGTGCTCCCCTCAGGGATGGGTTTACTACTAGCTGTCAGAAAGCTATTGGGTATCCTAATATGTTAATAGCTGAAACTCAGCTGTAATTTCTCCTAAATACTTCAGCATTTTGCATTCTGTACATTGTGGTGCTTTTTCCACCTTGTATTGTTGTAACTGTAAGCTCCTAGGGGGCAGCAATTTGGTCTTAGGCATATACCCTGTTTAGTGCCTGGCAATGCCATGTTTATATCAAGGTCTTAATATTACTTTTCAGTTATTTCTCCCACTCTTCATGGAACTGATGCTCCAGCCTTGCTGAGACACTTAGGGTCCTCCCAATAAGCCAGGCATTGTGATTCCTTGGCTTCAAGTGCCTTCTCTCTTCCCTGAAGGTCCACTGAGATCTATATTCCCTGCCCCCCTGCCTTCAGATCTCTTGCCATGTAAGTAATTTTTTAAAAGATCAGTACAAGAGCTATGTTTTTTCCTAAGAAGAAATTTGCAACGGGAATGGGGAGTTTTTTGGGTCTGATCTGATAGTCCCTTTTTGGGTCTGATCTGCCCAGAATTTGAAGTGAGGAACAAATTCATTCTCCTCTGTTTTCCACATTGTTTCTCTTGTTTGAGGTTCTGTTTTGACCACTGTTCCTAGAGCATTTTGTGTTTCTCATAGTTCATAACTTGACCCCTTCAATCTAGAATTAGAATTACATTACTGTTTTATTACTTTACTAGACTGTAAGCTCCTAGAAGATAAGGACTAGGGAGTTAATCTCTGTATTCCACCAGAAGGTATAGTGACTCATAACTAGAGTCTTTAGATGATAATTTACTGAGTTGAATAACTTAATATATTTGTTTTCATTCCCAAGGGAGGCATGTTTGAAGACAGACCTTGAATTTAATCAATATTAGGCACTAAGCAGTGGAGGAAATTGTTGGGAAATTTTGGGGGATGGATATAGAAGGGGGAGGAAGTCACTGGCCATTTTGAGGTGCTTTCATTATTGGTCTGGGTAACTAGTCATTTCTTCCTGATTGTGCCTAGTATATCCCAGGCAGTTTGTTTCTATGCAGAAGAACTTTATATGAAATTTTCATTTCTTTGTAAAAACTTGTTCCTTTTTTCAGTTCATGAAATCATCCGTGCTAAAGTCTGAGTCATCTGCTTCCACTTATGTTATTCCCCACATCCAGTCTTCAGCTAAGTCCTGTCGGTTCTACCTCAAGTCTTTCATGTCTTTCTTCCTCGCCCATGTGATTTCAGTAGCCTCTCAGCTTCACTTAACCTCTTCTTACTCCAGCCTACTTTATACACAATGTTAGATTCATCTTACTGAAACATAGCTCTAACCATGTATTCTATGTATGTGTTCTCTCTCCGCTATTAGACTGTAAGCTCCTTATGGGCAGGATCTGTGTCTGAGTCATCTTTGTATCTTGCCTAGTACCTACCAATAAATACTTCCTGAATGAACAAATGAATTTTCATTTCTCGACATAAAGCCTTGTCTAAAGGGAGATATTTTCCAGGTTATTCCTAGGTTTCTCTCTGGGGTAATTGGAGGTTCTTGCATATGAAGTTGGTTAAATAGTAATAATTATGAGTTAACCACAGAAAATTTCAGAAAACTTTAATTTTTTTCCATTGGAATCAGCATGGATATGTGTATATGGATGGTTCAATAAATATACTTTTATATACATGTTTCACAGAAATTTTACATTCCATCTTCAAACTGCAGAAATAGATTTTTTTTTATAAGCCAAAAAACTGCCATAACTTTTATGACTTCATGCAAAAAAAAAAAAAAGGGGGGGGAAAGAATAAGGGGCAAAGGGAATTAGTTGTTCAAGGTTGAGTGTCCAGTAAGAAGTAAAAATGTTACATTAAGGAAGCGATTGCTTAACACGCTGCTCAAGGTGGTAGCCAAACAAATCCTTAAATGCAGCATTAAGGCCATACCAAGTTTATACATATATACAAAGAAATTTCCATATAAAAGACATACTATCACATTTTCTTCTTCATAAGAATAAGGAACTTTGTAATTCTGACTTAATTTTCCAGACCAATTAATTAAAATGTCCCAGTCCACTTTTTAGAAATCTCTTCTACTTTGGCTAGCTGTCAGAGTCGCTGCTATGTGGGCTTGTGACTTATGGTCTGGCATGAAAGCATGAATCATCTTGAACCTCTTCCATCATAGCACTGTGTTGCTTAGCTAATTCACACTGCCCAGCTAAGCAAGTAGAATTGTAACTTGTGGTTGCCTTACCTGTAACAGACTCCATAGTCATGTTGGCATTGTGACCTGAAGAATTACACGGTGCCCTTCTTAGATTCTTTGGGGTTAAGGTAACTTCTTAAATAATGTACTAATGAACCAAAGTGTTTCAGGAAACATGCCCTAGCTCTTAGATGTTTGTATCTAACTTTTACCCCTTGTGTGTCATAATATATTTAAGTTGGTAGCTACATTCTTGGAATAAAGGAAATGTAAAATCATTTGCAGAATAATAACCCGGGATTTACTCTTCTGCGTAAACATCAAACCAGGGAACTTTTAAGACAAAGGGTACATCTTTTGTGCAGATATCTAAGTGGGCAAAATGGGAAAAACATTAAGGGCAAGTCCTTTGGGAAAGACTTCCATTTAATGCAGAAGTCATTCGCTTTGGCAAGGTTGGGTGGGACTCTGAGATTTCACACTCGTGTCCTGTTGGCAGAAAATAGCCCATCTTAAGTTAGTGAATCCTGAGTCAAAATGAAAAGTTGCTAAATTTAAGATAGAGTGTACAAATAAAATAACTCCTTCCCCCAGTGACTGCATTTATTTTGTAATCTTAAACTCATTTTGGAATGTTTTAAATTAAATACAACTTTGTGATTAATGTTGTCTTAGCAATGAATTGGTATCTCTCTGTCCTGTTCATCACCAGTTTTCAAGTGTGGCTCCAGTGTGTTTACAACTGTGGCTGCAAGGTAATTCAATTTCCCTAGGCCAGTTTCCCTAGGCCAGTCAAGTTTGAGAATGAGGTCTCCGTAGATGACCCATCCTAGGCGAGAGGACCAGGTAATTTGTGATTTGGAAGCACTGTGGTATGCTTGAACACTTGTGAAGTTAACGGTCACTGAGTATTCTAATCATGTACCAACCACTCTTCACCCTAAATGCTCTACAAGTTATTGCAGTAATTTGCATCAATTCTAGATAGGGTGATTTTTAATCAACAAGTCTACTGTGGTGCTGATCTAAACAATGAGACGGGAATCTCCTTTGGCAGTCTTGGAATATCAAGAGAGCATAAAAGTATTAGGGTTTTTGTCTTGGTCACTTTGTGGTTTCACTTTGTCCATTTCAAGTCCAAAACAGCTGAAGATATGTTTTATCCAGTTTGTCAGACATACTTGGAGGCCACTGAAGTCTCTGCTATGTTTGTTTTGAAAGTAGAACTCAAGCTGTTTCGTTTTTTTTCTTTTTTCTTTTGAGAACATTGCACTAACTTTTTGTCTAATATACACAAGAATCACATTGAGTAGGTATTTTATCTATGTCCATTCAATATACTAAGCAGGTTGGACCTCTTTAGGATTTAATTTACCCATATCATTTTAACTGTTAGTGTTGAAGATATAATGGCTAAGTATTGGAAGATTGAACCATTAAAATAGGAAGTAGTATGAATTTAAAACGCTGTGAAGTACCCTATGGGAAGTAAAATTTTTAGCCTTTTCTATACCATTCAGACTAAATTGACATGTTGAGCATGGTATGCTTTTAGATGAGGTAGAAATATATCTAATGGAAAAAGTTGGGTTTAGCAAACTGCTTACTTGATATGTAAATACCAATTTTAAAAAAGATTTGAGGCAATCTTTAATTTACCATGGTAGGTTATACTAACTTTTCCTTTCCCCAGAGTGTCTCTTCAAAGGATTTACTTAAGACGCGTAACCTTTTGTGAAAGAAACTTCCTTTTTCGTACTTGGACTAGCAATGACTTAATAGCAATCAGTTACATGTTTGTCTATTTTTTTTCTACTCATATTTGGCCTTTTTTCCCCCCTCTCTATGCCTTTTTTCTTTATGTACCTGAGTTTCATGCTTTGAATAGAGACACTGTTGGGAGAAGTAATTTCAGATGCAGTTGAGGGTGTAAAAAAGGATGTGCTAGACTGTGTTTCCCTCAGGTCTGTTTAGTATTTCAATTAGATCAATAAAAGGAAATATTTAGAGCAAAAGCTCTTTAGAAATACCTTCATTTTCTGTTCTTGTGTCAGTTTGCTGAGAATGATGTTCTCCAGGTTCATCCATGTCCCTACAAAGGACATGAACTCATCGTTTTTGATTGCTGCATAATATTCCACGGTGTATATGTGCCACATTTTCCCTGTCCAGTCTATCATTTATGGGCATTTGGGTTGATTCCAGGTCTTTGCTATTGTAAACAGTGCTGCAATAAACATTCGTGTGCATGTGTCCTTGTAGTAGAACGAGAACAGAAAATGAAATACCGCATGTTCTCACTCATAGGCGGGTGTTGAACAATGAGAACACATGGACACAGGGAGGGGAACACTAGACACTGGGATCTGTTGGGGGGAATAGGGGAGGGACAGCACGAGGTGGGGAGCTGGGGAGAGAGAGCATGGAGAGAAATGCCAGATATAGCTGAAGGGGAGGAAGGCAGCAAATCACACTGCCACGTGTGTACCTATGCAACTATCTTGCATGTTGTTCACATGTACCCCAAAACCTAAAATGCAATAAAAACACCTTCATTGTACTAAGTATTGCCTTGGTAAACAACTCGGTAAAAATGTTTTCAGAATCGGTATAGAATAGTGAGCTCACAGTAGAACCATAGCTTTACCATACCTATCTCCTTTCTAATGGCTGGCTACCTATGACAAACTAAATGCCTAGTATTTACTAGTTCACACTGACACTCTTGAAGATGTGAATTTCTAGTGGGTACGCTACTTCTGAGACAAAGGAAAAGTTAAGTTCTCTCAAAATAAGTACAGGAAAATCTGAGCGGGCTGAAGGTGTTGGTTAATGGAAAGAAGGTAGAAAGCTCCTGTTTATGAGGGAGCACCTTGGTTTGCTTTTGAGAACTGCTGCACTTAATGAGTCCTGACCCTTTATTCTCTATTTTAAGCTTTCGATGTAATCTAAATCTAGCTTTGCAAACATGTCTTCCATTCACTACGCTTTATCCAAGTGGATAATCACCTTTCATGTGCTGCCTATTTTTTAACCTCCATATTTTTGCTCATACTGTTCCTTCTGCCTGGAATCTTGTCCCCATCTGTCAAAATCTCATCTATTCATTACTGCTCACATTCCACAATTTAATTTCTACTCTCTCCATGGCACCCTCCTCCTCCTGTTGCATACTACATCACACTTCGGTAATGATATTGGTGCTTCTATTATCCCCTCCTATGTTGTAGGAAAAGGGGCTGTGTTTTTATTCTGATGCCCTGCTTTCATGGTATACCAATTTGCCATAATAGATTTAATATATAGCAGGTGGAAAGGCAGGTATAGGGAAATTAAAAATCTGAAAGAAAAAATGGGGATAATATTTGTATACATATGATGTTTTATGTAATAAAATATATTCTAGTTCTTTCTGAGCCCATTTTATACTTTGAAAGAAGACTAAAATGCTTTCTCCAGGCTAAGGAAACATTAAGAAATCATCCCAAAGCATGTACATAGCAGTTACCTGGAGACCCACTAAACCAGACTTGGGTCACTAAATAGGGACCAGAGTGCCACTTTTCTGAACAACATCCAGAGCTGAGTGGAAGGGGTACTGTGCTGGCCCTTAGAGCAGTAGCTGAGACATTCCTGACATCACTGCTGTTGCTCATGATCCTGTCATGCCAAAGACCAACTGAAGAGACAGGTGAGGCCAAGTGGGTTCTATGAAGCACAGTCGTGGAGGCCTTGTCCCATCAACTCATCTGGCTAGTTTGCACAGGTGGTTAAGTCAGGAATAAAAGGACTTCAAGACAAGCAGGAGCATCTGCTTTTTTGTGGAGGGGACAGCTCTGTTGACACATTTCCTTTGTGATTTCATTTTCTTACTTCATGTCCAGAGCTTGGATGGGAGTAAAGAGCCGTTAGAAACTCTGATAAATCCAACTGCTATGGAAAAGAACCTTTTGTTTAGAATCTGAGCTTAAGTGTCCCATCCTCCCAGACCTTGAATTGATTGTCTGTTGGATTCCACTGATACAAACCATATATAATCTCCCTGTTGATAAAGACAGTGTTTTCTGAATATAAGAAGTGTTGAAGCCATAGGAGTGTGGAAGCATTTCAGAAACATTTCCAGGGTGAGGTCTTGTTTGAGGGTGAATATGGAGAGAGCTGGCCCAACTCCAGCCACATCTATAAAATTGCTTCTTTTTGTTAGTTTAGTCAGTCAGTGGTATGATTTAGATAAACCCCCTGGTGGTGTGGAATGGTCCCATGTTTTCTGCTGTAGCTGTACTTGGAATAACAGGGACACACCAGGGAAAACATTGTTAATTCTTACTGGAAGTTTCTCATTATGACTAAATTTGAGGGGGAAGCGGGGAGGAGTCATTACAGTTATTTCTCTAAGGATATTTCACAAGTTCTGCTCTGATGCATTTCTGATTCTTGCAGAGGCTTTGGCAGAATTCAGACAACTGCCATGAGAAATGGGTTACAGCCTTCATAGGATACACATGCAAAAACACCAGTGTGGAATGTCATCCTGATGTGTGATGGGATTCTCAGGTGAGAAGCTAGTCTTAGAGACAAGTCCCTCAGTGCTGTGAAATACCTTGACTTTCAAGGAAAACGATTCAGATTATAATCTCCTCAAGGGCCAAGACTCACTCTCCTCTTTTTAAATGTCTCCCTACCTACTCACCAGAAGGCCTGGGATGGGGTGCCAAGACTGATACTAACATGGAGAAACAATGACCTTTAACAACACGCTGTAGAGCTTTTTTTCTTCAACCCATCAAAATACTCAATTTGGCTTGGAAGAATCTGCAACTCCCTCTTTTTACAGGAGAGTAAATAAGCCAAGAAAGTGAAACAGCTTATCTATATTCCTATGACGAACCTGAGATCATACCAGAAGAAGGACCCACCTCTCTGACCTGTCTACGTTAGGTGGCAGGTATGTTTAAATAGGTTACTGGGTTTCTGGAGTTGCATAAGGAAACAGTTGAGTCTGAAGAAGAGAAGGACAAAAGGCAATGCAGGGAATTGTGGAGCCAGGTAGAAGTGGAAATGGGAGACCTATTATGATTAGAATTTGTATGCTGCCAGCAGATGTCTTTTTTCCCCAGGTTAGTTAGCTGGTACTGCGTTGTAACTGGTTAATGGCCTTATGTAGGATATAATTTTCATTACTGAGCTCTCTAAAGAGTATATTTTTGGTTTGCTTCTCTACATTTTGACTTCTTGACCCAGTGTTCCAGTGGAAACTTTGCAGAGCAATGAAATTTCAAAATGCATGGGCAAGAGAATGAACAGAAATTGCAGCCTTAAAGCAAATAAGACAGGAGCTGCTATGTCCATTCTAGTCTTCCCCTACTTAACTTGGAAATAAATCAGCATCTTCTGACAGTTTGGTTTCACAAAATAAGATGGACAAACTGATGAAACAGGAGATGCTGACAGAAGAGAGGCAATGGGAGGAGTAGGGGGAGAGCAAAGGAAGAATGGTCTGTTAGCTGAAGGAGCCTTAATGATATTAAAATTATTGGGCAGTTTCTACTTTGGAACTCGTTTTGTTTTTCTAATGAATGAGAAAGCACCTTAATTATTGCTTTAAATAACCACATAGCTCCATCAAAACAGCATGAAATAGTACTCCACGTATGAGCAAACCTATCTACTGCCATTGCTGTCTCTACAGCTTGATAAGTTCTTAGGAAACAACAGGATGATAATTGGTAGAGGCATCATCTAGTATGGGCCCTTATGAATCTAAGTTACTTAGGCTTGGGCAAGATGTTTGTAGTATACCCTTGTTTTTGACATACATTCTGGGATTCTTAGCTAAGACAATCAGAAAAAGTCATTGCTTTCATTCTTTTAATACTGGGCTTGGTTGGGCAGGGCTTCATTTCAGGAATTTTTTTAAGTTATTTATTTCTACAGGGATTTCAACTTATCCAAGGATGTTCTCCCTCTGCATTGGGATTTCAGGATACCATGAGGCCAAAGCCTTGCCAACATTTATGATTTCCCTTACGCTGATACAAGTAGTTCTCTCAGCAAGCCAGCTCAATTAAGCCATATTTCTTCTATTCCTCCCTTTGGTCAGGATTAGTACGTGTCTCTGGCTTCATAAACTGCGGAAAAATAGGAAAGTTTTGTTTTGAGACAGAATCTCTTGTCACTCCACCTGGAGTGCAGTGGTGTGATCTTGGCTCACTGCAACCTCTGCTTCCTGGGTTCAAGCGATTCTCCTGCCTTAGCCACCTGAGTAGCTGGGATTACAGGCACCTGCCACTATGCCTGACTAATTTTTGTATTTTTAGTAGAGACAGGGTTTTTTTTTTTTTTTTTTTTGAGATGGAGTTTCACTTTTGTTACCCAGGCTGGAGTGCAATGGCACGATCTCGGCTCACCGCAACCTCTGCCTCCTAGGTTCAGGCAATTCTCCTGCCTCAGCCTCCCAAGTAGCTGGGACTATAGGCACGCGCCACCATGCCCAGCTAATTTTTTGTAATTTTAGTAGAGACGGGGTTTCACCATGCTGACCAGGATGGTCTTGATCTCTTGACCTCGTGATCCAACCGCCTTGGCCTCCACAATGGCTGATAGGTTAAGTGCTGGGATTACAGGCTTGAGCCACTGGCCCGGCCGAGACAGGGTTTTATCATGTTGGCCAGGATAGTCTTGAACTCCTGAACTTAGGTGATCTGCCCACCTTAGCATCCCAAAGTGTTGGGATTATAGGCGTGAGCTACCTCGCCTGGACAAGGAAGGTTCTTAATTTAAATTTCTGGAGTTGATTTCTGACAGAAATAGTTCGGTGGTGGAAAAGAAGCTAAATTATATTTTCAAAACACCCTCTCTGCTTGCCTGTTTAGAGAATTTTTTATTTGGTTGGTTCAAGAAGAAATGATGCCAAAAATCAAGGGTAGCGGTCCATTCACTCTTTCTCAACATACCTTACTAGCCCCTCAGTGCAAGTCACCCAGCCAACCCAGGAAACATAGCCCACAGACAGTATCTTGCTTGCCTTTTCAGGGTGGGTAGAATGCACAAAAGTTGCTCATTGAATAATGAAGACAGCTTTCTAGAGTGGCATTCATGGCTCCTTAACTGGGCTTCCAACCAGACTAGGAAACAATTATAAATCTTAAATCTTGAGCTCTGTCCTGAAGCTGATATAGATTGTACCACCATCAAGCCCTGTGCTTGCCAGATTCTTGTAGTAAGGAGGTAGTTACTACAGACATAATAATTCCTTCCATTTCAGTGTGTTGCAATTAACTAAGGAATCTAATTTTCACAAAAGACTCTTAGTGATGGTACCAGTTTAGCTGGGGAGACTCTAATGGAGACTCACAGAACATCTCCCTTTTTTTTTTATAATGCTCATAAAGATATATACTTTGAAGGAAAGGAACCATCTCCCATTTATTTTTTCTCCCCAGTATGAACAAAATAGCCTATGAAAAAAATTGGTGAGCTTTTGAGAGGGGATTCATTTCTTACTTATTGACAGTTTAGAAGGAATAATTTGGGTCAGATAATGAACTCTTTTCTTTTTAAGACTCAAACTGAAAATAGAGTTAAAATCAAGTTATCACACATACAATATATACACAGATAAATATTTTTCCCCTTTCTGTTCATGCCTGGTCTTGCTCATTCCCTATGTTATTAGCCAAGAATGTTTGAAAGGACTAGAGGATATCAAAGCTGAGCCATTTATTTGGACTGTTTTTGAAATGAATGAGATACATTGTAAACTAATTGGTGAGAAACAATTAAGCAGAAATTCTGTCTGCTTAATTGGTACCTACTAGTTTGGCTCCTAGGATTAGCTCTAGTTTTGGAGGGTGAAATCACCAATCCTCTATGCCAGTGTCCAGTTTTCATACCATGTATAAATACTGCTGTGGTCTAGATAAGCAAAGAGTTTGAGAACCGGTAAACCATGCATTGCACCTAAATCAGTTTTTTGGCCACCATACCACTTGGCATCTGTAATATCAAAGCACAATATCCCCTGTACTCAAACTGAAGAGGAAATTAAGAAAGTACTGCTCTGTTCATTGGAGCCACTTAAAGTAATTGGCTTAGCTTATCTGGTTTGATTTTTCTATAATGATGAAATACACGTAATTTGCTAAATCCTTTCTACATTATACATTGATGATAATGTCTTTTCCTTGAGTATGCTTCCATTCCTAATTCATGATGACATTTTTGACTTTGTAATGATTGATGTCCCTTCCTCACCACCATTCACCAAATGTGGGGCAAAGAAAAAAGAAATCTGCAAATTTTCCAAAGAAAGACAACAATGTGTGGGTCCATATGTTCATGCATACGTATCCACACATCCACCTTGGAGGGTTTAGAAATCAAAGAGACATTAAATTCTTGGTTGTGTGAATTTCCTGTAGACTACCTTAAACACAGAGTCATAGAGCCGCCTGAGTCTGTTAGGAGGGAGTTTAGAGACTTCACATTGTGTATTTAGAGGAGCTAAAGACTAGTCATTTGCCCAAGGTCACTCAGCCTATTAGTGGCAGGACTAAAATCCAGGTGGTTTTTTTCGTTTTATAAAGACTCCACTCATGTTGATTTTCCATAAGAGGCTCTAGTTTGAAATAGTCTGAGAGAAGATTTCAGTGACATTCCCCCTCTGTGTCTCAAAGAGATGATTCAATTGTTTGTTGGCTACTGTCAACCTGGCAGCTGCCACAAGCTGAATATGGTGGCAGAAGTTCAAGGACCCAGCAGAGGTTGGGCAAATGGCCCAGTGATTTCTCTCGCTCAGAGGGATTCCAGACACTGCACATAAGGAGGTTTGGAATCTGCAGATTTATCCATTTGAGTGGAGGCAGAATGTCTTAGAACAATGGCATTGTCTTTAGTTTCTGCTGGAGGTCTAGCACGATTGTTGACTGATTCACCAAGACTTTAGACATTCTGAATTTAGTCCAGTAATGAGTAAAATAGGAAGAAGGGCTTCTTTAATTTTTTTAAATTAAAAAATGATTTTCCCTAAATAAAGTGAATAAAGTGCTAGTGAAAGGGCCTCTCCAAAGACTCATGCACCACTTGAGAATATAATGCTAATAAAAGGTGCTGACAGCAGTCCAAAGACTGATGTTCTCATCTTGAACTGTAGTCATTCAAGTCCCCCTTTTTAATTTTTCTCCTTTGGACACGTGTTTATGATGGGGTAAAGGATGGTCTTAGATGAGAGACTCCTACCCACTTGGCTCCCATCTCCCAAGATTTCTTAGAAAAAAGGATTGCAGGTTCTAGCCCATATTGTTCAAAGCTGTAATCCAGTTTAGGTTTTTGGGTCTACACAGGCTAAAAGAAGGGAAGGCATTAATTTATTTTCCTTGGATCTGGGATTAAACACCTTTACCCATTCAAGCCTCAAAGCCAAATCCTTTTTTTGGCTGCATAGTGCATTTCCTTTATGTAAATATCTCTAGAATCTTTGTCTTGACCTGGTATTTTAGGCCTGTATTAGTTATTGTGCTGCTGGAATGGGAGAAAATCCCCTAGGAGAAGGTGCTTTAGGGAAAAGTTAGGCTTCCAGTGTCCCTTCTCTGCTTACCACTCCTCCCCCATCCTGCCTAACATTGGAGATTTGTTAAAGACACGTGTGAAACCCCAGGCCTCAATGCACACAGATTGTCAGCTGTCTCTCAACATTCTACCCACACCTTTGATCCAAAGTTCAGACACTAAAGTGCAAAGAAATAAATGGAACCCCAGTACTGTAGCCATGGGCCAAAGCAGGGAAAATGCTGCAGACAGTGGTGCCATTATTTCAGGCATACTGCTGTTGACAGTGGACAGAGGCCTGCTGCTTCCACCTTGCAGACCTCCCATTTGTGATACCCATTTCTGTCACCCCATCCTGCAAACTAAATTCATCTCCTGGTCCTTCTTTTTTTCCGGAGTGCCCTAGCTGTCCCAGGACAATTCTGGCACTTCAGAATTAAAAGGATAGAGAAATATTTGTCTAACTTTCCTAAATGTTAAACAAAGCACCTAAAAGGAAAAAAACAGACTTACAAAAATATAACGGGGTCATCCCCGCAAACTTTGCACATTATGATATATGATATGTCAAAATATAACGTTTTCTAAACATTACCATCTCTCCCCACCCTTATACCTAATCTGCAGCAGACTCAACACTGCCCTTTCACCTCTTAAAACTTTTTAGAACCACTAGATAAGAAATGTATTTTATACCACTGACCCCACCTTCCCAGACATGCACTCGCTGGCAATTCCAAAGAGACTCCGAAAAAATAGACATTTGAAAAAAGTACCTGTTTACACTCAGTCTATCTGCATATTATTATTCAAGATTATTACTTTTTTAACCATAAAAAAGATTGCATATTGGCAATATAATGAGAAAACCACATTGGCCATTTTGCGATGGTAGTGGAGGGTGAGTGGGGCGGTTCTGAAGCACAGAAGCAAGAGGGCTCAGAGAGCGGCAGTTGTGGTCCTCAGCCTTGAGATGTGAGGATTGAGCTGGGGTCACCTATATTCTCAATCCTTGGCCTCTGAAAAGTTCTTCTATTTAGTCACGCCCTTCTCCTCCCTCCACTTTTCCCCATTTCCACTACCCATTCCCATACCACACAGTCCTCTGGAAGCAGAGGCAAAATGGCTTTTTGGCATGTGTCTGCCTGGGCCAGTTTAAAGACAGGTATGGCCTTTGGAGGGGTATGATATACACCAGAGCAAGCTTATTTGTGACTGTTTCCACTCCGGGAAAAATTTTCCATTACTTCTGTGACTTTAAAAATTTAAGCAGTTACTAGGCTGATAGGTTAAGAAACAAATCTTTTGTTCTTGTGGTTTTGCATTAATATTAAGCATGAATATATATCATATATTACATTGCTTTCTTTCTGCTCTGGGGCAGACTGCACTCTCCTTCCAAACAGGAAAACTGCACAGCCTGTGATCTGAGATTTTTGAAAGCTGTTATTTCCCCATTTCCCAACCCTTCCTCCCAGCCCTGTTACTATATTAGAAAAGTCCCTCCTGACCCCCCACCCACAGCCCACCCGAGGTTAAATAGTGCCACATTTTAAAATTCATGCATCACTGCATTTTGCTATTGCACATATTATAGAGAGAGTTGTGTAAGTTTGCCCCCTCCCTCTATTCCCCTTCTCTTCCTTAGTCTCTCAGATTCCTGTGCTATTCCCACGTTCCCCTCTCTTAGCCTCCCCCAACCTTCCAGACCCTTCACTGGTTGTGGACGTCCTCTCTACGGACAATCTTGTAGATGATCCAATAGAACATGTTGAAAATGAGGAAGGCCATGGGGAAGCCAATGCGGGATATTTTGTCAATCTTCTTGGCCCTCTGGATGAAGAGTTTTCGCATCTCCTCTGGGGACTTAGACGGTGCAGGAGCGGGGTTGGTGGTGTTATTGTTGTTGGCGCCCTTGACTGAGATGCCATCCTTGGCCTGCAGACATGCTGGGCCCATCCCATAGGCAGAGAAGTTAAAGCGGCCTTCTCCAGCTTCATCCTCCTGGAATAGATTCAACATGGGGCTCTACTTAAAATAAGATAGGGACTAGGCACCCTCCCTGCAAGGCACTCCCCTGAGGGCCAGACCATGCCCATCTGGTTCTCCCTGCTTTCCAGACTACACCACTCTAGGTTTCTGGAGGCTTTTTGGCTGGCTGGGGAGTTCTGCCTTATAGAGGGGCGCCACTTGGCTGCTGAAACAGGTGCAAACCAGGGGATAGGAATGTGGTTTAGAGTTTGGAGACCTGTGCTCCAGTCCCAGCTGTATCAGTTGCTGGTTGTATGACCGTAGGCAAGTAATTTCCTTCTGTGAGTCTCGGAAAGTTTTATTTCATTTTTTCCTCTACCTGGGGGATATGATTCACCCCACTACTCGACAAGTTTCTTTTGACCATTAGAAGTTATACTTGAGAACATATTCAAGGATGTACTGGATTTTAGTTAGAAATTCAGAGGACAATTTGGAGAGATCCCCTGCTTTGCCTCTGTTGCTTCCTTGCCCTCTTCCCCATCCCATTCCCCAGTTTACAGCTCCCAGGAATGGGTGATAAGGGGGTTGGCTATGGCTCAGGATGGAGCAGGAGCTCTGGGCCTCACTTACATTCCACAAGCCAGGGAAGCCACAGCTTCTTCCTGCCTCCCACATCCCTGACAGCTGTAACTTCAGACAGAACTCTGGATTTTTACTAACTTTTTGTACAAGGCCCTTCATCATTTGGCTCCAACTTACCTTTCCAGGCTTGCCTTCTCCCTGACCAGATACTTTGCACCCCTCCAGCTTTGTTGTACATTTTCTCTTATGTGTTCTCACGTCCCTGCCTTATGCTTACTACCAATGCCTTCTGCCCTGATCTTTCTAATTCATCCCTTTTCCAGGTCATGGTGGTCTTGCCCTGGTCTGAATCATGGAGGCATTATTGTCTGCTCTCCTCATGTCCAGGTTTGTTATCTTTGCATGTGAGCTGAAAAGTGGAGTTGAGAGTCTAATGTTTTGGTTTCAACTGAGCTGTTGATTCAGTGTTGGCACGGAGAAGTTCTATCAGCTTACATTGCCCACTTAGATAATGCTTTTAGGAAAGGAACACTATCTTCTGCTTGTTCCTGTGTAGGACAGGGCCAGCAGAGAACAAGAAACTCAGTACAGGATCTGCTGGTGGCTCTCCCTCTCTACTGTAGGATAGGTCACCTTCTGGTTTGTTTGTTTTGTTTTGTTTGTAAAGATGGGGTGTCTCGCTATGTTGCCCAGTCTGGTCTTGAATTCCTGGCCTCAAGAGAACCTCCTCCCTTGGCTTCCCAAAGTTCTGGGATTACAGTTATGAGCTACTGTGTCCAGCCCACCATTGCAATAGCCTCCAGTCTACCCCCACCACCCAAACCATTTGAGTTGTTGTAACACAGTTCCTGGTCATCTTTTGCTTAGAATCTTTTAATAGGCTGCCATTGACTTCTGGTTAATTAAAATCCTTCACGTGATAAACAAGGCCTTAGAATGTGAATGCTGCCTGCTTTTCCAGCCTCATCTTATGCCATTTCTATCTGGTGTTCTATGCTTCAGTCACTCTGAAATATTTCCTTATTTTGAAAATGTCATGCTCCTTATTTTGAACTCTGGGCCTTTGTGCAAGTTGTTCTCCCTGCCTAGAACACAATCTCAATCCCATCTCTTGCCTCCAGCTCCTCTTTCACCTAATTCTTCCTCAGAAGTCTTCTCTGAGCTCCCAAGTAGGCTAGCCAACACTGCTGTGTGCTCCATAAGCTCTTTATACATATTTCCCTCTTCTTCTTTTTTGTTTTGTTTTGTTTTTTTAGACAGAGTCTGGCTCTGTCATCCAGGCTGGAGTGCAGCGGTGCAGTCTTGGCTCACTGCAACCTCTGTCTCCCAGGTTTAAGTGATTCTCCCGTTTCAGCCTCCCGAGTACCTGGGACTACAGGTGCGTGCCACCACACCTGGCTAGTTTTTTGTTTTTGTATTTTTTTTTTAAGTAGAGACAAGGTTTCACCATGTTAGCCAGGATGGTCTCGATCTCCTGACCGTGTGATCTGCCTGCCTCAGCCTCCCAAAATGTTGGGATTACATGCGTAAGGCCAACCACGCCTGGCCATCTCCCTCTTAAAGCTCTTGTAACATTGTATTGTAATTTCTTGACTAGCATCTGTTTTTTATTAGATTATAAGCTCCCTGAAAGTAGAGGAAAAATCTGTCATGTTCATTGCACTCTTAACACTGAACATATGAATATAGTCCTTGGTTTATAAGCTCAAAACTTGGTACATATTTGTTGAGTAAATTTTTACTTGTATATCTTCACCAGCTTTATCTTCCTTTATTCATTTATTTTTTGGTTTAGATGGGGTTGTATTTTTAGCACCAGAAGTGTTTGAGACATACGCTAAATGCTCAAGAGATCCTTAGAAAATGAATGAATCTTGTCCACCTTCATTGCAAAAGTGGGGAGGAAGAGGATGTGCTACATATATGCAATGCCTGGCAAATAGGTGCTTATTAAGTACTTGTCTATGCATGGGGCAACAGAAGAATCAATGCCAGGGCCAAGGAAAGGAGTTGCGGGGAGCTGGCCAAATAGCTGGACCTAGTACTTAGAAGGGGGTCTGAGTCTGAACTCTATTATATTTCAATGAAAATCTCCCCTTGCTTGGGTTGGGGATGTTGTTTTTTTGTTGTTGTTTTAATTTTAAACTAGGACCTAGTTAGGTAGGGGGAAACACCAAATTAACTTTTTATGCTGCTTTGGATATTATTCTTTGCCTTTCTCATCTGTTCAACATGGGAATGGGAAGAGTAGAGGTTTGAATTAAAGGCCCTATCTATAGCTAGAGGATTATCAATTTCACATTGTGTCTGGGAGAAAGAAAATTCCCTAGGACTGACTGGTAAAAGACTTGCTATTCTTATTGGAACCAGCAGGTGGCAGGAAATGCATGCCCAACTCTATCTAGATCTGCTTAGAGCTGGAGGAGGGGAAATCTGGTAGTGTACCCTGGAACCCAGGGAGGTTGCTAGCAGTATGCCTGCTGAGTGTGGTGCTCGCAGATACGGTTTCCTAATAATTTGTGTAAGGAGGCCAGCCAGAGGATTGGAAAACCAGATGCTTTCTGCACAACAAATGAGTCAACATGGGAAGATGGTGGGAGTTGGGAAGGCTGGCCAAGATCACAGGCTCTGAGAAATTCAGGCATGTAGCTAGTTCCTCTCTATTCACCATCAGGATTTAAAATTCCCTCTGCAAACTACCTGTTAAAGAGAGGTTTCTGGAACAGAAGCTTGTACACCGCTAGTGTACAAATCACTTCCAATGTGGCTTACTCCACAGGAAATTATTTTTTATGGTGAGCTCAATTCTCCATCATTGTAATTTCTAACATTTGGGCCAACTTAAGAGCCCTTATGAATGAGATCACATTAAATCAAATGAATACAAGGAGGCAGGCAGGAGAAATGTGAGTGGCAAAGTAAGTCGGGGCTGAAAAATATCTGGTTAGAACATATGGTATTAACTGAAGAATGCATTCCCTATCTAAAGGCAGTTCCCGTGCACCAGTACCTTATGGGAAGCACATCCAGTATGGCTGAATGCTGTAATTTTTTTCTAATGAAGCCAGAAGTGTGGTTTTTAAATGCTGACCCCTTAGTCCAGATTTTAAAAACACTGGCCAAAGTAAAGATACTTGCTATCAAATTTCATCTTTTGGCTACTAGTTTTTGACCTCCACCTTGGAATAAGGCTTAGTCTTTATTTAAGATCTATTAAATGCAGGGCAATTTTTATCTGCTTCAGGATGGACACACTGATGAACAGATAAAGACTCATGATGGTATGGTTAATGTTTGGAGAAGAACCTCGGGTCTTTGAACACCTCCCTTGCCTTTGCCATCAGTGCCTCGTGATGCCAGTGACTTGGCCTTGCTATTGTGGGTCTCCCTCATCAGGAGTGGATGGGGTGATTGCTGAGGTATCTTCCAGGAGGGAACCAAGTAGGAAAATCTTATCAAATCTAGATAGTGGCCTCATTAACTTTATCTGGCCAGAGAGAAATGTTTGTTTTCTTCTAGTGTGTCAAACTGGTAGGTATTTGGGGAGGGTAGAAGCAGCCTTTGAAAGAAAGTACCATAGGCTACCATACTGCGTATCTTCAGGAGGCTCCATTCCCATTTTAGTCTATGCAAACAGCGTCTAGTGGATCTGTGCAGTGTCCAGTCAAAAGGCCTGGTCATAGTAAAATATCTTGGACATGGTCTTTTCAAATTAGTGTTTTTAACAAATATCTCTAGCAAATGAAATTACAGAAAGCAGCTAGTCTATGGGGGGAAAAAAGGAAAAATAAAAACATCCTAGATATAGTTATGTTTGGTCATTTTCAGTTTCTTTCTTTCTTTTTTTTTTTTTTGAGACAAAGTCTCACTCTGTTGCCCATATAGGTCTGGAACTCCTGGGCTAAAGCAATCCTCTCACCTCAGCCTTCCTAGTAGTTGGGATTATAGGCAAAAGCCATCATTCCAGTTTCTTAATTAGACTTTTTTTTTTTTTTCCTTTTTAAGAATCAGAGGCTAGGTATTCAATGGGCAATATAGAGTAGCTAAAACTAGGGGTCATTTAAAAAATTCTATCTGGCTTGCTGAACCCAAGACAATTTCCTCCTTCAATGCAGATTTAGAAGGATGGTTATATCGTAATTCCCATGGACATCTTCTGTCTTGGCATGTCTGCCTCCTCCCTATGGTAAACTGCCAGAAGTTAATTGAATCAGATTGCTGACGTTTAAGAAACATACTGATAGAAATTTGTATATATGTAATCATTTTAATACTTGGCACTTGTATGGCAGGAACAAAAAGCTGCTTTGGCATCCACTGATGTAATTCTCACCAGTTTCCCTTTATATGCAGTTTGCACATGAAGAACCTGGACCAAAGAATAGACTCGCTTGAAGTCTCATAGCAAAGAGGACTAAAGAGGCAGGGTCTTTTGTCACAGCACGTGGCAGCTTGGCAGATAACTATTTTGTGTTGTTTTTGTAATTTACTGATTAATAGACAATTATTTTAAATAGATCAGTCTAAAGCTTGTAGGATCTGGTACATTGCAGGTATGTGCTATGGCCTGCAACACTATGACAGGTCCTAGTGTGTGGGTCCCTCATTGCCCTAATCTGTCACTAGAAGAACTTCAAACTCTGTCCAGACACTGCTTCTTTATTACTTTTAATGGCAAAAACTGCAATTATTTTTGCACCAACCTAATTATTTGTTTATCCCTTTGCTCATCTGTTTAACAAATACTTATTGCATGCTCACTATATGTTAGGCCTTGTGTTAGGCACCAGGGATCTAGCACTGAGCGAAAATAAACATGGTCTCTGCCTTTATGGAGCTTGCAATTTGGTAGAAGAGATAGACTTTTTAAAAATCACATCATTGAATTATGCTTTTAAATCAGGATACTTTTTTTTTTTTGAGACAGAGTGTCACTCTATTGCCGAGGGTAGAGTGCAGTAGTGGTGATCTTGGCTCACTGCAACCTCTACCTCCAGGGTTCAAGTGATTGTTCTGCCTCAGCCTCCCTGGTAGCTGGGATCACAGGTGCCCACAACTATGCCTTGCTAATTTTTGTGTTTTTAGTAGAGATGGGGTTTCACTAGGTTAGCCAGGCTGATCTGAAACTCTTGATCTCAGGCAATCCATTCACCTTGGCCTCTCAAAGTGCTGGGATTACAAGCGTGAACCACCACGCCTGGCTGAAATCAGGGTACAGTTTTAGAAGGTTAGAAGTTAAGTTCAATTAGAACATAGCACACACAGTGCACTGGAAGAGCAGGACAGGGAAAGAGAACAAGATATCTAAAGTCCTGTGTGTATATTTGAAGAACTAAGAAAAAAGCCAGGGTGGCTGGTGTTCAGAGAGCAAAAAGGAAATTGATGTGAAAATGAGACTGCAAAGGAAAGCAGACTCTCTGATCCCCAGGACAGTGGTCTTCTGGGGAACTGGTTAGGAACCCAGGGTATGGAGCAGTTTGCTCCAGCAGGCTACACACTCCCCAGTGGTATTCTTTGGTCAGTGCACGACCTCTGAGTAGACAGAAGTTGGTTACTTTTCAGAGGTGCCCTGTCAAATATTCCTTTATTCAATCCCTCATATGGTGCGAGAATGCACTCTGGTGGAGGATCTTGCTTGTTGCCTCTATCCTGGAGGCAGGAAGTAAAAGTCTGAACCTGGGCATTTTCTTTAAGATCTCACTTTTTGTGTGCAATTGTCTTCTGGAATCAAGCCTATTAAAACCATGCAGGCTTGCAGAAAAAAGCCAATGGACATCTCCCAATCTTTTAGGTTTATAGTTAGTTATTTTCGTGACCCCATCAGCATTTAGTCCATTAATTCTGCCTTTAGGTGTAACTTGATAATTTCTGCAGTGTTACTGTTGCAATTGGAAGAGTGACTGCCTATAGACCCAACTAGGTCATTATTTATGGGAGAAAAGCTGAGACCTCTAGGTCTTTAGTTCCTATTTCTAAACTGCCTTTTACATTGAGAAAGATGGACCATTGAAACAAATAACACAAGACAAGACTGCTTAGAACTCTTTTGTTTACTACCAGCTGTCCCTCCTTAGGCAGTGACGCAAGGGCCTACCTTGTGATGTCTCCGCTTCCTCCTGAATCGGAGCAGCTCTTTATGTTGCCGAGACACAAAGTTAACGGCAGCATATTCTAGTAGGGCTGAGAACACAAAGAGCAGGCAAACTGCCATCCAAATGTCAATGGCTTTCACATAGGACACCTAGAGTGGGGGTGGAGGAGAAACACAGGGAAGTGAGAGCAGAGGAGTATAAAATATTGAGCATGGTGGGATGTTTTCTGCTCTTCAGTAATTTCCCCCCCATCACCCACTGCTCTCTGCTCCTCAGCTGGGATATTAGGGTAGAGGTACAGAGGAAAACAAGAGAGATGCATCAAACAGACTGGAAAGAATATTTGGGGTAAATAGATTATGGTACCTATGAGAGTACTAAAGAGAGGACAATGGTATATTTAGCATTATCACTTAGAACAGAATACTGTGTTTTGTTTAAGGGTGATAGGAACAAACTGTTGTACTGAGCATTAAAAGTGAATGGAGGATGTCAGCAAAAATGACACCATGAGGACTTCTGAAAATTCTTCTATAAAATTAATGGGAACACTGGAAAAAAATGGTCAGTGCCAACTTTTCAGAACTCTGCTAATTACCAAAGACTTATAGCAGTCCTGTGAATATTTATTTGAGAAAATATGCTGAATCTTGTTAAGAACAGCAAGCTTTGTGGCATTGTTCAGAAGTGCTATTGAGATATAATTCACATACTATGCAATTCACACATTTAACATATACAATTCACACATTTAAAGGGTTTAAATCATTAAACAAGAGTTTAATGATTTTTAGAATATTCACTTATGTGCAACCATCATCATCAGTCAATTTTAGAACGTTTTCATTACCTCAAGAAGAAATCTGTTACTTTTAGCCATCACCTCTCTATTTCCCCAGCCATAAACAACCACTAATCTATATTTTATATGAATGAAGTAGTATAATATGTGGCCTTTTATTATTGGCTTCTTTCACTTAGCATAATATTTTCAAGGTTCATTCATTGTAACATGTGTCAGTATTTCATTCCTTTTTATGGCTGAATAATACTCTGTTTTATGGATATACAACATATTGTTTATCCATGAATCAGTTAATGGATATTTAAGTTTTCTACCTTTTAGCTACTCTGAGTAATGCTGCTATAAACATCCATGTACAAGTTTCTGCATGGACATGTATTTTCATTTTCCTTGGAGCTTTGTGATGTGTTGCCCTATTCCTATCCTAATCTACTCAGCTCCATGGTAGCCTTGAAAACCAACAGCCTGTTGCACATGAAAACCAGCTGTCTGGCAGCCATTGGATGGAGCAGAACAGAGCTTAAGCTTCTTCAAAGACCCATACCCGGAGAGTTATCGTCATTCAACATATCTCATGTTTCACACAAAGATGCCACTCACAAGGCTATCTTTATTTGACCTGATTTGGAGCTGGCCCCATGTGAACAACTTTTTCGTTGAGGGCATTAATCAAAAGCAATCAATAGTGATTACTACCTGAGGCAGTTGGGGCAAAATAATAGGTTAATCAAAAAGCAGAAAAGGAAAAACTGGGTAATGAGATGTTTGTTTCTTCCAGACTTTGGAAAACTCTGACATATTTTTGGGAAACTGTGTGAAAGTTTAGAGCTGTGTGCATTCCTGGAAAGACCTGAGATGGCCCTAAGCTCTCACCTTTGGCTAACCTTGATAGTCTGAGCAAGTAGGAAGTGAAGCCTGAGCCTAAGTCAAAGTTGTAAACTGCCTGGCAGAATGTTGAAGGTAGGTCTTAACATACACACAGAGCCCCTTGGGAAAGGCTAGGACACTTATAGCTTCCAGGCATTTAAGAAACCTTTGTCTGATATTTAGCTGACTACCAACCTAACTGAGCAGAGATTTCAGTGGTCCCACAAAACAAATAATACAGACTTTATAGAATTAGTTCAGAAAAGTTGCTGAATAGCAACAGCAACAAATCTTGAAGGGGAGAAAATTTGATTTTCAAAGTCACCACATTATATAAATGTCCAAACTTGGCTGGCAAGATGGCTCAATAGGAACAGCTCTGGTCTGCAGCTCCCAGTGAGATTAACACAGAAGGCAGGTGATTTCTGCATTTTCAACTGACATACCCAGCTCATCTCATTGGGACTGGTTAGACAGTGGGTGTAGTCCACAGAGGGCAAGCTGAAGAAGGTGAGATGTTGCCTCACCCAGGAAGTGCAAGGGGTTGGGGAACTCCCTCTCCTAGCCAAGGGAAGCCTTGAAGGACTGTGTGAGGGATGGTACACTCTGGCCCAGATACTATGCTTTTTTTCACAGTCTTCACAACCCACACACCAGGAGATTCCCTCAGGTCCCTAGGTCACGAGAGCCGTAGGTTTCAAGCACAAAACTGGGAGGCCGTTTAGGCAGACACCCAGCTAGCTGCGGGAGTTTTTTTTTCATACCCCAGTAGCACCTGGAACACCAGTGAGACAGAACTGTCCATTCCCTTGGAAAGGGGGCTGAAGCTAGGGATTCCAGTGGTCTAGCTCAGCAGATCCAACCCCACAGAGCCCAGCAAGCTAGGTTCCACTGGATTGAAATTCTTACTGCCAGCAGAGCAGTCTGAAGTTGATGTGGGATGCTCAAGCTTGGTAGGGGGAGGGGCGTCTGCCATCGCTGAGGATTGAGTAGGCAGGTTTCTCCTTACAGTGTAAACAAAGCCAATGGGAAGTTCAAACTGGGTGGAGTCCATTGCAGCTCTCTAAAGCCACTGTAGCCAGATGGCCTTTCTAGATTCCTATTCTTTCAGGGCATCTCTGAAAGAAAGGCAGCAGCCCCAGTCAGGGGCTTATAAACTCCCATCTCCCTGGGACAGAGCACCTGGGGAAAGGGGCGGCTGTGGACACAGCTTCAGCAGACTGAAACGCTCCTGCCTGCCAGCTCTGAAGAGAGCAGCGGATTTCCCAACATAGCATTTGAGCTCTGCTAAGGGACCAACTGCCTCCTCAAGTGGGTCCATGACCCCTGTACCTCTTGACTGGTAGACACCTCATAGAGGAGAGCTCTGGCTGGCATCTGGTGGGTGCTCCTCTGGGACAGAGCTTTCAGAGGAAGAAACAGGCAGCAATCTTTGCTGTTCTGCGGCCTCTGCTGGTGATAACCAGGCAAACATGGTCTGGAGTGGACCAGCAAACTCCATCAGACCTGCAGCAGAGGGGCCTATTAGAAGGAAAACTAACAAGCAAAAAGGAATAGCATCAACATTAATGAAAAGGACATCCACACAGAAACCCCATCCGAAGGTCACCAGCATCCAAGACTAAAGGTAGATAAATCCACAAACATGAAGAAAAAAACACACAAAAAGGCTGAAAATTCCAAAAACCAGAATGCTGTTTCTCCTTCAAAGGATCACAGCTTCTTGCCAGCAAGGGAACAAAACTGGACAGAGAATGAGTTTGAGAGATTGACAGAAATAGGCCAGAAGCTGGGTAATAACAAACTCCTTCAAGCCAAAGGAGCATGTTCTAATTCAAGGCAAGGAACCTAAGAACCTTGAAAAAAGGTTAGAGGAATTGCTAACTAGAATATCCAGTTTAGAGAAGAACATAAATGACCTGATGGAGCTGAAGACAGCACAAGAACTTTGTGAAGCATACACAGGTATCGATAGCTGAATCTATCAAGTGGAAGAAAGGATATCAGAGATTGAAGATCAACTTAATAAAGCATAAAGATAAGATTAGAGAAAAAAGAATGAAAAGGAATGAACAAAGCCTCCAAGAAATATGGGACTATGTGAATATGTGACTACATTTGATTGGTGTACCTGAAAGAGATGGGGATAATGGAACCAAGTTGGAAAACTCTTCAGAATATTATCGAGGAGAACTTCCCCAACCTAGGAAGACAGGTCAACATTCAAATTCAGGAAATACAGAGAACACCACAAAGATATTCCTCGAGAAGAGCAACCTCAAGATGCATAATCATCAGATTCACCAAGGTTGAAATGAAGGGAAAAAAATGTTAAGGGCAGCCAGAGAGAAAGGTTGGGTTACCCCCAAAGGGAAGCCCATCAGACTCACAGTTGATTTCTCTGCAGAAACCCTACAAGCCAGAAGAGAGTGGGGCCAATATTCAACATTCTTAAAGAAAAGAATTTTCAACCCAGAATTTCATATCCAGCCAAACTAAGCTTCATAAGCAAAGGAGAAGTAAAATCCTTTACAGACAAGCAAATGCTGAGTCATGTTGTCACCACCAGGTCTGCCTTACAAGAGCTCTTGAAGGAAGTACTAAACATGGAAAGGAAAAACCAGTACCAGCCACTGCAGAAACATACCAAATTGTAAAGACCATTAGCAATATGAAGAAACTGCATCAACTAATGGGCAAAATAACCAGATAGTATCATAATGACAGGATCAGATTCACACATAACAAAATTAACCTTAAATGTTAATGGGCTAAATGCCCCAATTAAAAGACACAGACTGGCAAATTGGATAAGACCCATTGGTGTGCTATATTCTGGAGACCCACATAAAGTGCAAAGGCACACATTGAATCAAAATAAAGGGATGAAGGAATATTTACCAAGCAAATGAAAAGCAAAGAAAAGCAAGGTTGCAATCTTAATCTCTGATAAAAGAGACTTTAAACCAACAAAGATCAAAAAAGACAAAGAAGGGCATTACATAATGGTAAATGGATCAGTGCAACAAGAAGAGCTTACTATTCTAAATATATATGCACCCAATACAGGAGCACCCAGATTCACAGAGCAAGTTCTCAGAGACCTACAAAGAAACTTAGACTCCCACAAAGTTAATAGTGGGAGACTTTAACACCCTACTGTCAATATTAGACAGATCAATGAGACAGAAGATTAATAAAATATTTAGGACTCAAACTTAGCTCTGGACCATGCAGACCTAATAGACATCTATAGAACTCTCCATCCTAAATCAGCAGAATATACATTCTTCTCAGCACCACACTGACCACATAATTGGAAGTAAAACATTCCTCAGCAAATGCAAAAGAATGGAAATCATAACAGTCTCTCAGCTCACAGTGCAATCAAATTGGAACTCAGAATTAAGAAACTCACTGAAAACCATACAACTACATGGAAACTGAACAACCTGTTCTGGAATGACTATTGGGTAA